ATTTTTGAATTTTTGAATTTTTGAATTTTTGAATTTTTGAATTTTTGAATTTTTGAATTTTTGAATTTTTGAATTTTTGAATTTTTGAATTTTTGAATATTTGAATTTTTGAATTTTCACATTTTTTTTTTTTGGATAAGGAAAATAACACAGAATTACAAATTAAACAATTACGTGAATAATGGAATAGTTTAACACATAGATGTGGCTATATAGATCGCACTTGGATAAATGAGAATTGAGCCGGCACAGTTTCAATTTTTTTAATTTTTTAATTAGGAAAAATATGCAAAATTATGAGGTCTAATGAATATTCAAAATCTAGCGAATATTCAAATGAATTTCGAGGGTCTCTGTTTTACCCCCATCCGTTCTACAAACTATTTTCATCCACAGAGTTTGTCCCTCCTTGTGATTACATTCCGAGCCATTTAAAAATGCTCGAGCATATTTTCTCGAGAAAAAATTGTTTTTTTTCTTAAAGTGTCCGTTTTGCCCCTGTCTCTCCAATACATGAATAAATTTTTACCAAACTCCCATATTCATTACGTAATTGACACACCGTGACTTCACATTTCACAACTGCAAAATATTAAAAGTCTGAAAAATACTGATTACACACGGAAACGAAAACTTGCATCAAGTATATTTGATACTTGATTTGCGTATTTATTTTTCTTCAAGTATCAATAAGCAGACTTTTCTCCGAGAAATCTCACCAGAACATGATTATTCCATCTATATTAGAGTGATAAAGAATAAATATAAAAAATTGGTGATATTAAGGAAATAAATTTCCAAAAAAGCTTCATATATCAGTTTGCAATAACCGACGATAGGCTGCGGTAAATCATCTATATTAGCCTGCTTCCCCCTTGGCACCCCTTCCTAGAACCAATATCACTGGCCACCGATGCCGATGTATGGTAGATTCCCCCACTCTGGCTATATTATCGAAATACCACTGGAGGGTGATATAAAAACACGTAAAAATTAGATGAGGAAAAATTCTCCGACCTTGGCCCTAAGGACAGCATGTGAGCACTGCGTCACTAATAATCCATGAAATGCGTATGAAATCTTTTCATCATTTCCGTATATTTTTGCGCTCACCCGTCAATTAAAAAATTAAACGTCAAATATAATTGATTATTCGTGAAAATTAACTGATTTATCAGTATCAAAACCAATCGAAATTCGAAAATAAAAAAATTACAATTACACTTGAGATGAAGTGACAAAACTTCTATAGAATTTTTTATTGTAAAATGTTGATTTTGTAAGTATTTAAACATACCACTGGCAATTTTCAAGTCCACACGGCACTAAATAACTGAGAATATTAAAAATTCAAGCGATAAATTTTCTGGTTCTTCAAGCTATAGAAAATTGACTTATATTTAATGTTCAATTCCCACAATTTATTTGAGTACTCATGCTTTCATTGAAAAACCATTAATTATTTAACACGAAAAATTCATTTTTTGTTTCTAAATGGACATTTTTCAATGCACCAAATTCGAGTTTCCCATTTTTACACACGATGTATCAATTTGTTGACATAAAAAGCTCAAAACATTTGGGGAAAATAATAATGAGAGAAGATGTAATTTTTAAAAGGTGCTGGTATGGATCACCTGTATTTACACAAATCCCTATGGCTCTAACACCACTGTAATCAATCACTGGCCAACACCAGAGGCCAGTAATGCCTCAACATGATTTTGTGAATAAATCTAGGGGATAATGAAATCACTAGTAATTAGTCAATGTCTTGGACCGCAGACCAGCGGAACTAAGGGAGTTATTTCATGTCTACTGTCCTCTGCAGGAGGTTATTAATTATCACCATTTTTCCAAATGAAATGATAAATCATTCGCTAACGTCATTCCATTTGTTTAATTTATGTTTAATACACTAAATCAATGACACTTATCTGATTTTTTAATTGGCTGGCTTCCGACGCCACCCCTTTCTTTCAAATTTAAAGCCCCAAATATTTTTTCTCAGAGGTACTACATATTATTTTAAAATGTATGAGCGCATAAGGCAATATGATATTAAAATGGGATAAGGTTTGAAAATAAGAAAAAACCTATCATACCCTAATTCTGAAGTTTGAAACTATCGCCATTGTTTAGTAAAACGTGAATAACCGGAGAAAATGGGCACTTTAATTTCCGTCCTCGAATCGTAATTTCGAGTCGAGAACATGAAATTATCGTAGAGATCGCACCATTGGTTTTCCAATCCCAACATTTTGTTTTTGATAATCTTTTTCCAAAGCTTTTTCCAAGCTTTCTTCCATACACTCAAAAATAAAACATGATCATCAATTAACCAGTACCAACTCAATCCAATTTCTTAATTTCCATTTATCGTAAAAAACGCATCTTATTAAATTTTTTATTATTGATTTGTTAATTTAGGATGGAGGAAACCTCACGTGGATTATTGCAGCACAAACAGAGGGCAGAGCAGCTTAAACAAGAGAGAACAGCACTGACACTATCGTACGAGGTAAGGGAGCCGATAAAAAAATCGTAAAATAGAGCAAAAAGGGAAGAGACTTCCCACAACACCCTGCAAACGGCCCATAATCGTAAAAAAATAAAAAAAAAATGATGGATAAAAAAATAAGGGAGAGGAGGGAAAAAATTGCTGATGTCTGTCGTGCACATATCGAACTTCCACCCCTCGTATGTCATTATAGTCATCTTCTGGGCAGAGTTAACCCTCCGGGAAGAGAAGCCAGAGTGCGATGGCACTCAGCTGAGGGGTTTCATTTTATCCCATAAAAAATAGAATGTAAATGAAAATTACTACGAACAATTCATCTCCGAAAGAATAAAAATAAATTGTAGACACTTCTGAGAATTTTTTTGTCAAGTCTAATGAAAAAATCAGGTAATTATTTGGAACATTAAGGCATTGATGGCTTTGGGTTTAATGCGAAGAAATAAAGAGCTGACCTATATTCATTTATCTGAAATCGCGAGAAACGATCGACCGATTTTTCGATTTTAAAACTCGTTTTGATTGTATACCCAAATGAATGAAGAAGTATATCGTTAAAGGAACGACACTTATGGGCTATAGATATACGACTGTTTCTCTAATATATTAAAAAAGAGCCTAGTGATATTGTATCGTTTAGAAATTTACGATTATCGATCAATCCTTGGTTTTTTTTTTAAATTCATTGTGAAAATATCGATATACAATGCGATACCGATTCTAATATATTAAAGGAGAGCCTAGGGATATTGTATCGTTTAAAAATTTACGATTATCGATCAATCCTTGGTTTTTTTTTAGAATTCATTGTGAAAATATCGATATACAATG